GTTCTGGTGCTGCCAAGGAAGTGTACTCCCATTCTGCGGTTTTAGAAGCCACACTCATTTCTTCCAATTTATCCTTTCTGCTTTCTGGAGGCAAAAGGGGCAGACCCACGTCCTCACTCAAACTGCCTGGGCCCCTGGGGCCTCTGTCTTCAGCATGCAGGTCCTCACAGAAACCGGGCTCTTGTGCGTTGTGGCCCGGCAAGTCAGGAATTTTAACTGGAGCAGAATCTTCCTCAGACTCTTTCTTTTGGTTTACAGGAAATGTTGTAAAATGCCTCCCCTCTGCACATGCCCCTGGGACTCTGACCTCACCAGGTAGGCTCCGGTCCTCCTCGGGCTCCCCAGAAGGCAGGGCACCCGCCCCTGCCAGCTCTGTGCTGTTCTCTCCTAACGCACCCCTGGGCTCCGACTCAGACTCTCCTGCCCCCTGACCCCCATCCACCCCAGCTCCACTTCTTGTGGGATCAGCAAGCCCACATTTCCTATCTCTGTGGCCATGCCCCGTTTCTACGGATGCTGGAAGAGCACAAGCAACCCCTCCTGTGTGGGCAGAGGGCAGAAAAGCACTGGGAGCCTTGGGCTGGTCTCGACCTGGGCCTCCATCTTTGCTGCAATTATCTGTCACTGACTGTTGGGAAATGTGGGCCTGGGCAGCCTCTTGCCTACTTCCTGCCAAGGTGTCTGCAAAAGAATCGCCCTCCTTTACTACCTGAGGAGCAGGGGTGGGTAGTTCACAGGCTGCTGACCCTGCCGCCTCTAAAGGGCCTGCCTCACTCATCACCCCCAGTGGTGTTCTGGGGCAGGTGAATGTAATATTTCTATTTTCATCCACATATCTGACTCCTTCACTTGCGGGGTCCCCTCTGGTTTCCACGGGAACATGTATTTTTGTTGCATCTCTCTTATTTCCTAGAATGTGCTTTTCAGAAAAGCTACTTTGAACCATTTTACTTTTTCCACCATCACTGCTGTCATTTGGTTGCTTGGCCACTCCGGTGTGCCCTGTGGCTGCACCAGCCTTATTCTCTGCAGACAGGACTGAAGGGACAAGTGTCACCCCCTGGACTGGATCTTGGCGGCTCACACCCATCACCGTGACAGCTGGTTCAAAAGCAGCAGAATCCTTGTTCCTGCCAAGGGCCTCAAGCTCTGAACCATCTCCCTCACCAAGGCTGCCCTTCCCACCACCCAGCTCCACTACGGGGGTACCTGGTGAACGAGAAAACAAAGGATCTTGACTTTGGGGGAAAGTGAGCCCGAATTCCCTGTCTGGGTGGGAGGTACGACCTGCGTCTCCACCCTTCCCTACAGAAGACGGGCTGAGGATTTCTCCTTTGCTCTCCATTCTAGCAGGCTGTGTCGAATAATTGTTTTTAAACTTTTTGTTTTTGCCTTCACTGCTTCGTTTCTTAGGCTTTTCAGAAACCCAGGAGGCCGTCTCACAACCCACCCAAGGACATGTTCCTCCTGCACTCTGGTCCCTGACACCCGTGTCTGTGGCTAAGACTCCACTTCCTGTTCTAGCACTGGAGGTCCGAGTGACGCCTGACATGCTTCCCAGAGGAACCGGTGCCTGTAAGGCGCCTGCCGCCCCGGGCTGGGCAGCCAGCTCCTGCAGTGCCCTGGCCCCCGCTGCCCCCTCGGAGCGATGCACCTCCACCCCAGGCTGCTCGACCTGGCCTGGCCCCAGCTCCAGGTTCGGGCTCCTGTCCCCAGGTGTCATTCTCTCGTGTCCAGGGGCCAGCTCACTGGGCCCAAGAGCAGCTCTGCCGTCCCTCTGGCTGTCCGGAGAAGACAGTGGCTCGGACCTTGCTCCTACCTGCCTGGGACTTCCCCTTCCCTTCCTGCTTCTGCCACCTGCTGTCATCCCCTGGAAGGGCCTGCCCATAGGCCCAGGGTCCTGAGCCAACACCCTGCCCTGTAGCTGCTCAGACACACAGGTGCTCGTGAGTCTGTGCTCAGGAAGAGCTTTCCTGAGGCTTAGTTCTTGAGCCTCTTCAGCTCCTTCAGGAAGCCCTCTGCGTTTGCTGTTCTGCAACTCGGTCATTTTCTGTCTGCCACTCCCTTGCTCTGCACTGCTTCCTACAGGGCTGCTCGCTCGCAAAGTGGGCATCAAATCAGGCAGCTCTTTTGCTGCAGTGGCTTTTGAAACTCCATCCAAAGCCTCTTGATCCAAGACAGGAGGGCAGTCCGTTTTGGGTCTGGCTTCCAGAGGGACTTCTGCGTGTGCAGAGGCTTCTGCCGGGGATCCTTTCTGAGTGAGGGGGCCGAGGGCCTGGCTCTCACCCACGGGAGGCTGCAGTGGGGGCACAGGCTGTGGTCTGCATTCATCCTGCTGGAGCGATTTCTTGTCTCGGTCCTGCTGGACTGACTTGTCACCCTTGACCTCTGCCTCCATGCTCAGCTTAGGCTGAGGATTTGCTGCAGTTTTGGGGGGTTCTTCCAAAGGACCCAGGGAGACACTGAGACTTCCTGAGACAAAGTCTTCAGCTGCCTGCCTTGCTGCTCGGGGGCCACTTGCACATCCTTTCCTCACGTTTTCTCTGGGTGCAGACGCACACTCCGTGCCCACAGCGGCAGGCTGGCTAGGGAGAGCACCGGATCTCCGCGGGTCAGCCACAGGGGGATGGCCTTGGGGCTCGCCTGCCCTGTCCTTGTCCTCATCCCAAAGCCGCCCAGTCCGGGGCTGAGAGTATCTCTTTTGCTTTGGTTTCTTCCTCTTCTTCTTCATCATCGCTGGCACGCTCTCCGTCTCCCAGGCCTCCCTGCCCAGATCCCGCTGGGGCTCAAGAAAGTCAATGGGAACCATCCTCCCTTGGCCCCCGGCCCCCCCATGGGAAGACAAGCCAGGGGGCCGGGCCGGCGCAGGCACAGGGCAGGGGCCCAGGCCAGGGTCGAGGGTCTTCTGTGGAGAAGAGCCTCCTGGCAGCTCTGGAGGAACCCCGGCAGGCCCGGGCCAGGCAGACCTGCGGTCACTGGGTCTGCACCCTGGTCTGGCTCGTAGGGGAGAGACACCTGCAATACAGGAAGTTGGCCAAAATTCCAAACAAAAACTCCTTGTTATTGCTCCTTTAAAAAGTCCACTCAGTGACTCATTTAAGTAGTCTATTTTCACCAACTGATGTACTAATTCATTTAGGAAAATAGTTTTTCCCAAAACATTTCTCATCCTTAACTGGGATCAGCAAATATTTATTCAACAAAGATCATCATCTCTGGTAAAGATTTTTTTTTAACACATTTATAAAATATTTTCAACTTGAGAAAAGAAATTCAAACAGATCTTCTAATTTTTATAATAGGCACTTAGTGCCTATAAATCTCATACTTACACTGTCATTACTTTTACTAGGTACATAATTCACAATTTTGCAATAAGATGGTAAGTTCCCATCTTTTTGGTGACATTAATTAATTGAATGAAATATATATGGATTTTGGATCAAATTTACAACTCTAAGAGCCTGTCACCAACATTATACTAATTACTTGTCGTATTAACCAGATCAATTCTGGGAAACAGACGAGAGGGCCAGACTTATGCAACTGGGGGGAATTAAAAGAAAAAAGAGAAAAAAGACCCTGAAGTCATATTTTGGCCAGAGAAAAATTCTCGTCATTCCAGAATCACAGAGAGCCTCCTACTTTGCAAGACAAATGTGTTGGATCTCAATGTTCTGTTCCTGAATATGCCTCCCAAAAGACAGAGAAATATACACAATGTTAAGTAGGGCAAAGAAATACACAGTCAGAATAAGGACCCTCACTGAGATTCAGGAGGCCGACTGGTCCAGCCTCCTGCCTCCGTGCCAATGAAGTATGGGTCTGGGATGCTGGAGGGGGCAGCGGTAGGCCTGACCCGATGAATGACCGCAGAGAGCACCAAATACTTAAACAGCACCTCTGTCCTTGGCCTCACCCCTCCAATAGCCCCCAATCCTACCCTTCATTTCACACCTCAGGTTGACTATTGTTTCTCTCAAAAAATTGCTAGGCTCAGCACCGCACAGCATTTATGACATTTAATATGGCAATTAGCCAGCAGCTATTTGCTGCCATTCTTTAATACTATTTTACTCGATTATTATAAAATAGATCCTTGGTTTCAGAGTTCATGCCTGGGAACTTTTCTTGCCATCCAGGCTGTAACACAGCAACACAAGGGGAAAGGCCCGACTTAAATTCTGTCTGTCTCAACATAGTATAATTTGAGGAAAATAAGGACTTAATGAAGCTTTATTGATATGTTGAGTCACTAAAACAGCATTTTAAAAAACTCAAACATTTATTTAGTTCCTAACTGGTGCCATAACTGTGCAGAGCACTAGAGATCCTAAGCGATCTGAGTCGTGGCCCCTGCCCTGCAGCTCACATTCTCACTACGGCCACCAAAGAGCAAGCAGAGTCATTAAGCTAATGATCATACACACGTTTCTGGCTTACCATCCAAACCTTGGTATCTTAAAGTTCACTGACTAATCGAACTTTAATTTGGAAAACAGCTTGAGGCAGTGCCTCTCAAAGCTTAACGTACGTGACGATGAACTGAGCCTGTTAAAATGTGTATCGTGATTCTGAAGGTCTGAGGTGGAGCCGAGATGCCGCATTTCTAACACCCCCAGGAACACAGGTGCTGCTGGGCCACGGAGCTCCTGCGACCAGCACAGGTGTACAGCACACTCGGCCAGTGCATTCCCCTTACAGCTTAGTAGGTGGAGGTGTAGGAAAGTTAAATAACTGGCCTAAGACCATACAGGACAGAAGAGCGAGCAGCTCAGATGGACGGAAATTTAGGTGTCCTAAGTTGATGCAGTGATAACTTTAAAGGTGACAAAGTAAAACAAATTTACTTTCTGCCTAAACAAGACAAATTCTAAGAAAGAAAACTGACTTCATAAAGAATACTGCTGATTACCACCGTGCACCAGGATGGTATCGGCCCGCACCAACCTCCCACACCCCATGAAGTGCTTCAAAGAGCCCACTGTCCTCCTCATCACCTGCAGTCTCAGAAGACAGCTCCCACGGCTGGCCACCAGGTGGTTTCTTTTCCACTAACTTCGGTAATGCAGAATCCTCATCTGCTGGCAAGCTGTACTTCTGGCCCGTGGATATGACAGGTTCTAAAGGTAATGGTGAAAGCCACACAAGTTTTAGAGAAGCACTATTTCAGCTATTTATCCACCTTCTGGAATTGGAGACAGGAATAGTTCTGAGGGATGAGAGATGAGGGACACTGCTATGAGTGCAGCAGAGAAATGGAGTGGTGGCTGGAAGGCGGAGTTGAGAGGGTTTTGTTTTATATTTAAT